AAAAGGGGGATTTTGGTTAGTTTGTATATTATAGTTTTTTTTGGTTGTATTTCTAACAAATAATCCCTTTATTAAACTGGGTACAATATCGAAAAGATTACAAAGCCGGAACCAGAGGCTAAGCCGACGGACAACCTTGAAACCCCCAGTTACAAAGCCCATACAAGGGACATCAAAGGAACCATGAAATTCAGAACAAGCTATCAAGGCTAGTACTTCACTGCTAAGACTAATAACAATGAAAATTAACACAAATTCAGCCACAAACATTACCCAAAGGCAAAGAAATGGTAGATGGACATAGATCAAACCAGACTACAAGAAAGACAATCCAAAGGGCGCGAGTCCGAGAAGCCAAAAGTCCAAATGACACACCACCGAAGCTGAGCAGAGAAGATACCACCGCAAGCAAACACATCATGAGCATATTAAAAGGGACCAAAACAAGGAGAGCAATCAAGAAGAAACTCTTTCCAAGCGACGAAAGCAACAGAGAATGAAGGCGCGATAACAACCCAAATAGTCTAAACTAAGCGTCGAGACCGCTTTTCTCTTCAAAAACCGAAAACAAACGAGCATGAAAGGAAGACTCTTCACCAAAGAAAGTACCCAAAGAGACCGGATAACATGAGCGCAAAAATTCAAGAGTTGAAGGACGCTAAGAGGAGGCGCGTTCATGAGCGGAGAAGCCGCATCAGAGGACAAACCGGCACCAATCATTCCACCAAAGTCCAACTCGTAGTACACTAAACGACATTGCACATGAAACCAGAACTAGACCCACTTTCTAAAAACTGAAGCCCCCAACACCAATGCAGTAATCCCCAAAATTCACCAGAAGAACTGAAATCCACAAGGAAACTACACAAAAGAGCTGACAACAAGGAAATATGAACCAAAAATTCAAACCTGAGGAGATCACAAGATCGATAGTCAGTCGCACAAAAAAATGGCACCACGAACCCACGAACCAAGCTAAGACTAGAGAATACTCCGGCAAGTAAATCAGGCCGAGAGAAGAAGGGAGGCAGCGGCTCCAGCACCCTGACCCAAGCGGCCCGACAACCACAAATCAAACCATCTTCAACACAGCTCAAAGCCAGGCCGAACCCAATCTCCAAACCTCAACAAATCCAGATCTCTAGATCTCGATCCATACCCTATAGTCAGACCGATTCA